TCTACCTTGCTTTGCCTTTCTCTGTCTTGGTGTTTGTCTGTGAAAAATGGGCTGATGACTCTCTCCCCAGCATTCCAAAAGAGAGGGTGAATTTCATTTATTAATGCCAATAGGGTCCGTGGAGACTTGCAGAGAAAATACTCCATGTGAAGCAGAATATAGTGTTCTACCTCGCAGAAAGCTTATGCTCTACCCTTTCTTTTCAAAGCACCTATTTACTGACCTTGCTAGGCAACGGGGACATTGTCTGACATAAAACCAGTAATGATAATAAACCAAACAAAACCTAACAGTCTATAAAATGCAGCTGAGGGCTGTCAGATAAACAGACGACAGATGGAATGAATTTCTGAAGCTGGATGAAAGGGAAGGCTCCAGTGGGCAATTGGCAGTTGACCCAAAAATAACCTTAGAGCTACATCCCAAGGGGGACACGACCACCATCCAGAAGGTCCTGCCTCAGAGGACACTGGAAGCATGGTAATATCTGGGAGGTTTTGAGCCAGGGACCTTAAAGAATGGCAGTACAGGGGATGGCCATATTCAGTTCTCCAGAACTAAAGTTCTTCAGGTCTGAATTTTGTTGGCAATATGTAACAGGGCATACTGCAAGTACAATATACCCTCATTTGTTTATTCCTGTTCCTCTACCTGCTTTCTAGCAGACAGGAGACAGTCCCCATGAAGGTATGCCTGGTCATACAGCTCCTTATCAAGCTATCTGCTTTGCTCAAGCAAGCAAGGTATCACATGCTCCAGAAGAAGTCTTTGGCTGGACACATCTGTGCTCAGAGCTAACCTGGACCCAATGGCCACAGGGGCTCTCGAAGGTCAAGGCAGGGACAACACCTTGGGAAATCTCAAGAAACATCTCATGCCTTTGAGAGCAACATAAACTTCCATGAATACCTTTTTAGAGCCAACAGATTATTGGGAGAGACATGAGAGAGGAAATAAGCAGAGGATGAAACAAAGTGCAATCCCATTATAAGGCTTCATGCCATTTGATCAGTTGCAGCTCAAAACACTCTTGTTAGAGCACAGTGTCTATCCCAGACGTGTGCTCGTTCCTCTGGCCGACTAATAAACATTGTCACTCATTTGCAGCTAGTTACCACTTTAAGTGGTATATACTAGAGGGATGAGCCAGTGGCTAATACAGAAGCCTGATGCTACTAGGCAAAGCTAAATGAAATTCTAGAAACAAACCTTTAACAGCTGACATTGGTTGTTCAATAACTTTAGGCACTTGCATAGAATCACAGACTGGCTTGGGTCGGAAGGGACTTTAAAGCTCATCCTTCCACTAGACCAGGCTGTGCCAAGCCCCATCCAACCTGACCTTGAATGCTGTATGGCATCCTACATACAGTGCTTTACACTTCCCTTTACCTAGCCTCAAGTAGAAAAACAAGGTTTCAAACATCCTCAAGTCAGACGTCAGTGTCACTGTTCAGAGCAATCACTGGGTTTGTAGCATCACACAGTCATGTTTTCATCACAGACTGTTTTGCTTTGGAGTGCTGCAGAGAAGGGGCAAGGTGACAAGGACACAACTGGCAATATAACAATATGGTGCTTTCTATCAATACAAGTCTTTTCTTCGCTGTGTGCTTAGCTTGACTTTTTAAAAAGAGGATTCAGTGACTGGAAAAAAAGGAAGTGACTCATGACTTAACGTCCCTCACTGTATTCTACATGGGCGATTACACAGCCTCGCACTACTCCAAGGTGCTCAGTGATCCAGCTGAGCACCCTTGTGCTCAACACCCTGCTTACTCCCACTAAGCAGCAAAGAAGTGCCTTTGTTGCAGTCCACCCGTGCCCTACATTTTCAAGGGAAGTAAGGATTCTCTGGCACTAACTCGCTCTGTCAAGCTGCTGAATTACAAGTAATGAGCTTTATTCCTTCCAGTGAGAAGGTGGCACGATTTCCTCCATGCACCAAGTTGCATAAAACCCACTTTCCCCACGTGGCATCATCAGCAGAGGTGTTCCACCTCACAGGCTTGCCTGGGGGGCATTCTAGGCCACACAGTTTCAGGATCTCCTTATTGCATCTGTGCTGTTCTAGCATAGCAACTTAAACACGGTGCTAAATTCCTGCCACCAGCTCTCCGTGCTTTCTGAAAGCCCACAGAAAAATTAAGTGTGTGAGTGTCTAAAAGACACAAACCAACTCATCGGTGGGCAGCAGGTTTCTCTTTCATGCTATGAAATCACAAGTACTGTATTCCCCCCTCCCAATCCCACTTGCACTGCTCTGTAAGGAAGCGGGCAGAGAATATGAAGCCTCTGTTGCTATTCAGATATTGACTCTGACTTCAAGGAGTTAAACAGCAAGTCTCTGCCTTTCTGGATTTCCACATGTATTGCCAAGCCAGCACTACAGCCAGCTTTGTTCTTGAATTTAAATAGCCTATGCATTTAAATTCTGTCATTACAGTTAGAAGAGGAGGCCAAGGACTTCAACTACCTGCTGTCTAAGAATAAGGCAGGCTTGAAGTGATTAGGAACCTTTTACATTCATTAGTAGCAATACTTGAAGGTGCTGGGAGAGATGGGGGATATAATCAACTGCATCCATTATGCTGTTCTTACATTTCAGATACTTCCTGTCTTGGAGCTTTGTGCTTTCTTCAAGCTTATCTGCATGCTGGCATGCATGGCTATTAAGTTTTGCCCACTTAGAGGGGCTTGCTCACAGCAAAGAAAGTTTTAGGAAGGAATTACAACTGTACAGCCAGACTGAATATTCAGCCTCCTGTTGCTGCTGTACTCATTGTTTCACTACTACCTGGAACATGCTTCATGTTTTATTCACACAAAATGAGACCTAACTGGAAGGACAGCATCATCTCCCCCAGGACTCAGTGTGGAACTGCAATGCATTTCGAATCCTTCCCCACAGTAAGCACAAAGTAAGTACTGGGAGGCAGCCAGCCTGGTTACACTGAGGTTAATGAATAAACAACTGCCTGCAGTACCCAGTTCCCTACTGTACCTAAAATATATATCTTAGGGAGCCCCCCCCCATCTATAGATAATCATTCCAAAAGATAAAGGCATTAAATTTGTCTTTGAAAAAATAGATTATCAACATTTATACAGAAAACTGCTATTAAGGAAACAAAAAGAAAAGGCTTTTCAATGAGGACTTGCTTTCTACAGACAAATGACTTTCTTGTTGAAAACAGAACACTGAAAACCAGAAAAGATTGCCAACCCAGCAATAGCCATTCTGAAAACGCTACCTCAGTCACATCTCCTCTTCCTCATTGCTTCTTTATGGAGATGCTCTCCAAGCATACATTTCCAGGCAAAGAGGGGATGTTGTGAATGAGGAGAACTGGTGGCATACCAAGATCACTTCTAAAAACAGGGTTTAATTGCTTGGTTATGGATGCAGTTTTAGTTTCTTTACCTAGGGTAACATTGCCAATCAGTTTAACAAACATGATAGCCTACGCTTCTGAGAGCGTCTTGCGTGGTTTGAAACATCCCATGTGACAAACAGCGAAGAGAAGTTGCTTTGCTGGGGGAATCTCTGGCATTTAAGGGGTCTCTGAGCACCTAGGAGTCATTTGTCACTTGTGAAAATCTAGGTCATTTACTCCCCTCCTCCTGCTCCGCTTTCTCATGCTAAATATAGAAAGAATTTTCTGGCTTGAGACTGAATAAATTTGTTAATTACACTCTTACCTCGAAACCTGCAATTGAAATGCACTCGGGGAGGTTCTGAAAGCTGTGGAAAGCTATTCTTTTTCCTAATGTTCTTCTGACGTGTCTTAGAGGAAAAAGGAAGAAAGCTCATTTGCTTTTCATTTCTCAGTTTTGAGGGTAATATTTAACAGAAGTAAATCCCTTTAAGGGCTCAACTGTGCCCTTTGAAGCTAGTGGGGAAAAATCCCATTGAGTTTCATTGCAGGAGAAGTGTTTCTTCAGAAAAAAATCATGTCAACCAATCTGCAGTGCACTGTGTGATGCAAGAAAATGAATCGGTGCCATTAGAAAGTGCCAAGAGGTGGAGAGGACAGAGTTCCTGCAGGTATGAGGCACAGGATATAAATAACCAGGTTATTTCAGAGTGTATCATATCAAATAGCACCTGGCAAAAGTATCCCAAGCAAATCCATCATCAGTTCCTGGTGCTATAAAAGCTTGTATGTGTTTGTATCACTAAAGGTACCTGTCTTAAGAATGTTGAGAGGTGTAACAGATGGATTAACGTGCTCTAGAGAGGAAAAGTGCTGCTTGAATATTATCAAATTTATTATTAATGACAGAGCTATTAAAACAATTGGATGGCTCCTGACAGAGCTTAATTCCTTATATCTGCAACATAAAAATCCTGTTCCCAGCTTCCTTGGACACCTAATTTTTCTGTGCCTATAGGTAAGATTCCAGGCTTACATCAGTCAATCCCTTAACACCAGGTGCAAAGGCACCCTGCCAAGGGTTTGGGTAATAGAAGGGATGCACATTTCTCTAAGCTCCAAGACAACAGCAACGCAGAGCAAGTAACAGCAACTTTACAGCTATGAGTTAACTCCTGCAGTCAGTCCTCTGCAAATAGTTCAGAGGGACCTTGAGTTCCAGCTCAAATCTGGGAAGGAAAAATCAAAGCAGGAATTTGGGCAAGGGCACACATACCAATATAGCACATACCAAATGAATCCCAAGACCAAAGGGTTCTGCAGAATATGGGAGGTATCAACAGGCATCCAAAACCACACTGCCCATGAAAAGAAAAGAACCAAAAGTAGTCAAGGCACCTCTGCTGTGCTTGTACTGGTGGGATGGGACAAGAGACTGATGTTGGTGACACCAATGTCAGCCTCTTTGGGTAATACTGCATTACTTTCCCTTACTCTGGCAGCTCAACACTTCCACTGTGGCGTTTATCCATCCAGCAGCCATTCCTCTGCCTTTCACATACAATATATAAACTGAGCCACAACGTTAATGAGCCATTGCATATAGATGAGCTGGCAACCAGTCCGAGCTGACACAGCCACACATAAAAGCCAAAGAGGGCCCTGGGCTCTCTTCCATTGATACAGAAGCTGTTGGACCACACAGTTGTGGAAATTGGATTGTGTAGGGGACACGAAGCCAGGCAGCTTTCCCCCTGCCTCCCTTCTGCAGTCAACTTTACTGCTTAAGACACAAGGTAAGAGGCTTAGTGCTGTACTGTTTTCTTAATATCTGATTGAAAAAACCCTGGTGTTTCCAGACACATTGTCCCTTCTGTTTTCTTCCACTAAATTGCCACCTAATGACTACAGCAAGGGACCTAAAGAGTCCCTTCTTGTGGAACAGGATGTTTGGATTCTAGTCTGCTTACTCACTGACTTACCTTCCTTTGGGCAACTCTCTTGATAGTTCCCTTCTCCAGTTTCTGCTCCCATAAAACAGGCTACCGAGGCTTAAGAAAACATTGCCAAAGAAAATCTGTGCTCCTGCTGTAGTCACCTCAGATAGAGAAGGCAGAAGGTGGCGGTTCAGGCATTACTCTCCTCTGGGGATGCCAAGCAGTACTCCTGACAGCAACACAGGGCTGGAAGAGCCTCGAAGGCTATGCAAACAAACTAGGGTGGGATAAGCTGACACACGTTTACAGCGTATTAGCTGTTGTGTACTAACTGCCAGGACTGTTGTTTTAACCCTGTATTAGGACCAGCCAGCCCATCTTCAGCTTAGAGTTGCTTAAGGGCTATACATGTATGCAGTTCACAAGTAGAAGCTCATGGTTTTCACAGCTGTAGCTTAAGTTCAATGTGTTTCAGGCTCCCAGCCATGAGTGTAGAAGTTCCCTGCATTCAGATACACTAAGATGTTCAGCAACTACAGTGCCTAGTTTCTCAAGCTAGCTGTTAAAATAAGGAACCAACCTTAAATTATACTCCATTTTGGGCATGAAAATGCATAGTGCACTTTTCACTTCTTTCATCTCAGTCAATTACTTCTCTCAACCCATACAAACAGCAGCAGGGAAAAAGAAAGACCTGCATATGTGTTAGCAATGAATTTAAAAATCAGGGCACACCACTGAAGGGTTGACTTGTCAGAAAATGGTAATTAAAAGTGTTCCAGCTGACAGTGCTGCTTTAATGAATTATTAGTAATGCTCTCGGAGAGCATTTGATGACAGACACCATAAGAGTTCTTACTTAAACCTATTTTCTGCATGAGGCAACTTCTCTGTACAAGAGAGGGAAAATGTCTATTATAGAATCAAATTATGAAAATAACAATGGTTTGAATGATCAGAATCTTACAGGTACCTCTTCTGTACTGATTGCTCCTATTACCTGTACCACAGCCTTTTTTCCATGGGTGCTTAGCTAGTAACTGCCTCTGCTTCCTTAAATTCTGTTATAGCATCCTAATTAGGTCTAGTGCAAAAGAGTTTTGGTCACCAGCTTCTCTTAACAGTATTATACTGTTTATATTATACTATAGCGACTGACAGCTCAGTTTAAACACCGATACATCAATGCCCAGCTACACCTAGTCATGCATCTAGTTAGACATAGCTTGCTGTTGTGTGTACCAGAACAGTTTGGGCTCCTGGGCAAAGACAGGGCAGCACAAAGGTTTAGGCTAGAGATAGGTGAGCAGAGGGCATGAGCCTCTTGAGCTGTGCTCTCAGGTCAAAAGTGGACACCGTGAAGCTGAGGGGAGTATGTGAGGACTTGGAAATACAGCCCTACTTAGTGGGAGCCATGTGTGGAGCGGGGAAGGATGAGGGCAAAGGGCACTAAGTCTTAAGCATGGATTTGTATTTGGGTGTGAAGGAGACGGGCAGTTGAGAGGTGGCAAGAGAGATGGTGGAGAGAGGCTCTCATGCCTCGTTGCTTTGCACTGAGTTTCTTGCCGGTTTCTAGCTCCATCCAGACCCGTGGTTTGTCCTTCCCTGTTTCAGGAGCAATGTAACAGCAGCTCTGGGAATTCACATTTCCAGCCAGAAGTTCTGTGGACCCATCCCTATAGCTGGTAAGCAGCAGTATGATGGGGGGACTGGGTGGCTCTTGAACAGGGGTGGTCATAGTGGAAGCGCTTCCAGCCATGGAGTTCAAAGCACCCTGCACCTGAAAGCTACTCTTGTGTTTCAACTGTTACCAGCAGCTCACCTTAACACTCAATAACTAAGGTGCATCCTTAAGTATCCGGGCTACAGTAGGATGAGGGGAGTTTGACATGGGAATGTATAGTTACTTTCCAAGCTGTAGCTATGCCAGTTGTTTGTTACCTCAGCAGCATAACACACCGCAGGACATACTAGCACTATATACCCTGAGGCTCCATTTCTTGTCTATGAAATAGGACTATAGTTCACCCTGCATGCTGGAGAAAGGAGCTTTCTAGTTAAGATTCAGAGGGGTTTGTTAGCCCACCCGAGTATCTTCACAAGTCTTTTCTACAGAATAGGTCACTCAAACCACATTCAGGCTGTGAGTGGCTGATGAGTTTGCACACTCCGTACTGAGCGCTCACAGAGGTAAGCTGGTTTTATTCCTCTCTTGATTTCACAGCACAGGGGTTTGACATGTGAACATGCTTTCTCTGCAGTACTCCATGCTAAATGCAAAGTAATTTAAGTCAGCTCATAGTTTAATGAGCCCTCTCAACTCTCTTTTGTGCTGTAGAGAGAAACATGCACAGGGTAACTGTGGAACAATAACAAACAGCCCTAGAATTTCTGTCACAAAGAGAAAAGCAAGCAGTTATACAAGTGACACTCCCATAGGATGCAGCTACCCGTGACCCAAATGGCCACCCTCTCTGTGAATGTCTCCCAATGCATCAAGAGATGAAACAGGGAAGATGAATTCCTTTCACCTAGAATTTGGAGGTTATGTCTAATCTTGTCACCCAGGCTGCTCACACAACCTGGTGGCAGGCAGGTGAGATGAAGGACAGCTCCTCCAGTCCTCTCTACACTAACCCTTGTGTGTCTCAAATGAGCTGCCTGGGCTTTTCTAATATTGAGGCATAGAGCAAGGTGAGAATAAATCCTTCACCAGGCTTATACCACTTTACCAAGAGTCTGGAAATCTCAAACAACATCACAAAGTCTGCTACATAATTGGGTTCTATATGAACTAGAGCAACCAATGCAAGACTTTAAAAAGCTTATCAATATCTGAGCTAAGAGCCTCACTTTTGCAAGTAATTTAGTCCCAGGTTCAAATAAGGCACTTAAGCAGAGACTTAGCTCAAAATTGAAGTCTTGGGTCCTATAGCTCTTTGTGTAGCTCTAGAAACTGGTAAGTTTGAGGGGAGTAATTGGATGGAAGTAATTCAACTTGAAATGCCAGTTTCTTACAACTGAGAAGAACTCTGAGGCACCTGAGCTACTAATGTGGGCACTTCAGTAAGTTCCCTTAGATTGATGGAGTGAATCAGCACCATAGAAAATTCCAACGTGACTTAAGCTCCTAAATGAATGGAAAAGGTATAAGATGCCTGTGCACCAGAAAGGAGACAGCAGGCTATTTGTAAAGGGTATCTAAGAGTTCAACATTCCCTTTGCTTTTCTGTCTGGTTTTGTCTGGAACATAGGGACCTCCTGCAGGAAACACATTAAATGCTGAACAATATGAGGCAGAAAGAGCCACTGAGCACTTGGTGATAGTGTGATTTAAATACAAAGACTTGCACAGTGTGGGAACTCATAATAAATCTCAAATTAAGACTTTGATTTGCAAAAGTATCTGCAAATCAGCTTAATATTTGTCCATCTCAGAGCCGTACTATGCATTCCCCCGCTTCACCCCTTGCTGAGAATATTAAAATATTATGCACACAGAAGCTTTTCTTGGATAATAAACAAGTTTCTGCCAAGATAGCAATCAGGCATCTCTCATGTATAGCCTCCTAAAAACCTTAGCTCTGTTCTAACTATAGCAAGCTGATGCTGTGTTGCCAGTCCACAGCAACACATTCAAAAGGTCTCAAAGCCTTTTGAAATCATTGCTTTTATCCCCACAACACCATTTTCCACTTCCACCTTACAAATAGATGGGGAAGCAGACACAAAGAGAGAACATTTGTCCCACAGTACACAAAAAAACAGTGAAAAGCCAGGAACTAAGCTCAGATATTTGGACCCTGGGGAATGCTTTATTCCTTGACCGTCCTGGAACCAGAAGCCTTCTTATTAGGGCAGATTAGTTTGTTTATGGACCGAGATACAGTACACTCACTACGTTTACTCTTTGCTGCAAAATAGCAAGGAATAGAATGTGCTGAACACTGGTCTCTGACCTCAGTAATAAGTTGATTTAATTGGGTTTGATTTTTCAAATGTAACATCTCAAGTCAGCCAGCAACTCTGGAATTAGCATCTCACATCTTAACACAAGAGAGATTTTAAAGCAGCATAAGGAGATGAAGTCCATGCCCAATGAATTTCAAATTACACCAAGGATGAACTCAGCCATATGCATGTCAAACTAAAACTATGCAGGCTCTGAGTGCAGCAAGCAGCAAAGTTATTAATGGCTTACATTTGCTATTAAGAATGCAAAGTAGCTATTTTACACCCAGTTTGTTCATACATCTCTTCACATCAATGACTCATGTGATGGGTCAATAATTCACTCAATGCATACTGAAAGCCAAGAATATCTTGCAAGTCAATTACACTTAGGGAAATAATTAGAAACACAAAAGTAACTGAAGGATTGGAATAGAAAAAGCTCTGCTGCTGAAACACTGCAGCCCCCAGGGAAAGCAGACTGCTCCTGTCTTTAGATTTGCAGCTGGCGCTCCCCTACATGCCCCTTAGCAGAAAGCAGGAAATTAGCCTTAAAAGGGGCAATTCTAGTATTTCAGGGAATACTCAGGTTCTCAGGTAGCTAAAAGCCATTTGCTTCCTGCAGGAGATGTGAAAGTAGGACGCTAAGCAAATACTGCCTACTCAGATTTGATCCTTAAGATTTGCTCCTGAAATATGTTTATCTTTCATGGCATTCAGTTACAATGAATCACAGGAACATTTTAACCCATCTACTAGGCACAAGCAGACCCTGATTCGCCTGCACAGCATTTGCTTCATCACAGCACTGAATGCCTTTAATACCTCTGAAGAAACCTCTGAAGTCAGGCTTTTTCACAACCCATGTCTTTGGAACACAAACTGACCTTAAAAGCCACAGCAGGAGCTGCAGGCTATGCTATACATGCCTCCAAAAGGCTGTTACCCACAGCAGGATGCAGCAGCCAAGAGAGACTGTAAGGGGACAAGATGTATCTAGACAGCTTGGTTGAACATCATAGAAATCCGGCTTCAGGAACCAGAGACAGGACAAAACCTGCCAATCCAAGTTTGCAGTGCTGCCAGCACTTGTGAAACAGAGCAGAGCAGTATATGATGACAAGAAATCTTCCAAACTACTGGTGCCTGATGCTCTTATTGTTGAGCTTCAACTGATTAAAGATGCAGCAAGTGCCAGTCTACCTGGCAGCTGTGACATGACGGACTTGAAGGCCCAGTGAGCAGGGTAGGGAACACAGAAGATCAACAGGTAGCAGATGATGTGCTTAAATAGAAGCTCAGAACATCAGATGGGCAAATACACAGAGGACCTCCTGTGAGCCTGTATTACCCAAAAGGGTACAAGAAAACACACATCTGTTCAGGAATGCAATGAATCGTTTCCCTTTCTATCAATTCTATGGTTCCATCGTTGGTTTCTTTGCTTTTTAGATGTACAGTAAGAATTATGAGGTTACATTCTCCCTCCCAGATGCTCTCATTCCCTGTGTTACTAGCTATGATCCACCTTTGATTATGGCCATCAGGGTGGTTCTTTCTACTTCTAAGGTAAAAAGCAAGTTCAAGACAAGTAAGTCCCAAATGCCTATTAATGGAGAGAAATCTGGAATGATATTCCTTTCAAACACATCTGCTGGAAAACTGAATGACAGACAGGACAAAGAGGAACCTAACACACGCTCACAAAGCAGATGGGCTCTTAATGTTCCTAAGATGATCTTCAGTACAACTTGATGGCAAACCAATGCCAAATCAATGCAAATAACAGAACCAGTGAACAGACAGACAAGTAGCAAAAGAAGTGACAGTAGAAAAGTGCTCTATAAACTGTACATGCTGGGTTCGCTTCTGAGTGTGGTAGTTACTAGAGGAAGGGGGATGAGAAGCGCCAAGACACATCACAGAACTGGCACTGTCACATCACATGCCTTTAATCTCTGGCAACTAAGACATGGAAAACTTCTTTACCCACAGCTCAGTGATCTAAACTACCTAAGGAGAGCACTACACACATACACACACTTTCATCTTGAGAGAAAACCTCCCTCGCTTTGTTCTTTGTTTACCATAAGAAAGCAATAGGATCAAGTCTGAAAGAACTGTCTTCAGGGTGGAAAAAATAGCAGTAATGTGTATTTATAGCATATATATTCCTCTCACAATCCTACTGTCTGAGAAACACTCAGGGCTGGTTCCATTTGGGAACTCAGGCTCCCAATGGGAGCCTGGCAAAGCAGGGATTTGAATGTGGCGTATCAGGATCACCATGCCAGTCCCACCCACATTGCTATGGGTTGGCTTATTGGCAACAAACCAGCACAGCATAGTGGGTTTTGCCAGTTTAGAAATCAAAGTCACCTTGATAGCCATAAAAGACTGTGATACTGAAATTACAGCCTAATTAAAGATAAGGACTGCAATAGGACGGTGTTCTTAGCATTACATGAAAATATTCCTAAGCTTCTGACTAAGATAACCACACTGCTTACCCCGGTGCTATAAGCAGATGAAACACTGCAGCAGAGTAATGAGACCATAGCATGCAATTCATACCCTGAGTTCCAGGCACCTTTCTGGAGCACTGACAGGCTATGTACAGTCTGTATCATAAAAACACAATAGCAAAAACTCTTCCTACCGCAGTAACATCCAGGCTCAGCGCTCATTTCCCTTTTCCTCACCTTCCTCAGGCTCACACTGAGGGAGCATTACAGACCTGACAAACAGGACATCAAAGCCTGTCTCTGAGGTGGGCTGAGCACAGCAGGGCTAGCAAGGCTGTTGTGGTTTTTTCTGAGTATTGTTCTCCTGTGTCTGTGCCCTGGAGCTGTGAAGTACTGCAGGAAGACTTCTATTACAGCAACATTTGCTCTCTTGCTTTTGTTCCTTTAGTACTGTGCAGAGTACAGAAAGAGCAGTGTCATGCTTTTCTTGTGCACTGAGTAAGCAAGAACCTTTTTCCAACCACACTGAAGGTGTTGCAGCAGCGCTAAGTGTTTTCTGTCAGCAAGCTCCCCCACACCCAGGGCTGGGTCCTTTTCGGGAAGGTACAGAGGTGACCTTTAAGCACCATCAGTTTGAGTTTACCAGCACTTTGGAAAGAAAAAGCATATATGAGCAAACACTTTTACATGACAACGTGATGCCAATGAGATACCTGGAGTTCAGATGCTGAAGCAGGGTCAGAACCGTCAGAGCTCGCAGGTTTTGACTTTGGT